AAGTCATCGTCCACGGCAATCGACGCCACATTGACATTTGTGTCTGTGAATGCCATATCCTGTCCTCGAACACATGTGTGTTTCGTGAACTTGCCTACTGTCACAGACTTTAGAATTTGAATGAGACAAGGGATTGCTGTGTCCATGTCTGATTCCACTATGTAAGCCGTGAGGTGTTCATTGTCCTGTAAGGACAAAGGACCGCTAGATGCATTCCTTAGGTAAAACACATCCGTGGAGATCTGGTCTTTAGTTATGAAATACCACCCTTGGTACTGAATATCTTCAGAGGCTGAATCTGTCGCGTGCATATTTAGGTCTTCTGTTTCTCGGCTCACCATGGGAAACGGGCTTCTTTGCAGATGTACTCCGTTATATAGCTCACACTTACCTGGTATATATATATATATATATATATATATATATATATATATATATATATATATATATATATATATATTGTGTGTGTCATAGTATATATGTATATATACATATATATACTAACATCATTACTGGATGATAGAAAATGTACAAATGATGCTCTTTTGTAGCCCTCGTGGAATCTGCACACTATTCTCGGGGCTTCCGTGTACTCCGATCGGTTTTTCTTCCTCTTTGAAATATGGTAAAATTTGTAGTTTGGCACGGCAGTCTCCACTCCTAGTCTCAACGTCGTACACATGTTATTGTTTTGGGCCTGAATCGTAACGTTGATATCCAAGTGCAACAACACCGCTGCTATCAGCAGTCTCATCATAAGACTCTTTCCGCATTGTCTAGGGGCAAGACATAGTGTATACGGGTTAGCGTAACATTTGAACTCCTTCTCGATATGATAAAGATGACTCTGCGTTGGCCTGGTGTAATCGAACGTTTCAGATCTGAGAGGCGCTAACCCGAGTTTGGACAACAACGTGTTTAACTGCCACAATGTAAATTATGTCAATTTGTTTGATTTATTGTGTTATGTATGTATCTTATTTCCCTTGTCTATTGTTTCTTATGGGGTAGGAACTAAGTTTCATGCTGTGTTGCGCTCAGTCCATTTTGGGTGACTGAAAGGGAATTAAAAGAGCATGTGAAAAGAAGCTAAGCTATACCCTACGCAGTCACAGGAATGAATAAATGAGCAGTTTAAAGTAAGGGTAAACGGTACCACTTTACAATAAGGCTCCCTTATAAATGGCTAATAAATGGTTTATAAATGTCTTATTAATCAATCTATAATGCCTTATATATGACTAATAAACATTTATTATGCATTAATTAAGGGTGAAAAAGACACTAAACTTACTAGTTTCTTGCCAAATAGTGAACCAAATCTGTTGACTTATGTACTTTATCTAGACTTCATATATTAAACATTTCAAACTAAGAAACTACCTTTTAAGCACTATTAGCATTTGTAAACAAGGTTTTGGGCAACTAATAATGTACCTTATAACTGCATTATAAATACAATGATTAAAGGGAGGCTTATTGTAAAGTGTAAAATATGTCTTTATTCATTAATAGTTAATAAACATTTATAAATACAAACTGGAGCCTTATTGTAAAGTGTAAAACATGTCTTTATTTATTAATGATTAATAAACATTTATAAATACAAACTGGAACCTTATTGTAAAGTGTAAAACATGTCTTTATTTATTAATGATTAATAAACATTTATAAATACAAACTGGAGCCTTATTGTAAAGTGTAAAACATGTCTTTATTTATTAATGATTAATAAACATTTATAAATACAAACTGGAGCCTTATTGTAAAGTGTAAAATATGTCTTTATTTATTAATAGTTAATAAACATTTATAATTACAAAAGGGAGCCTTATTGTAAAGTATAAAACATGTCTTTATTTATTAATGATTAATAAACATTTATAAATACAAACTGGAGCCTTATTGTAAAGTGTAAAATATGTCTTTATTTATTAATAGTTAATAAACATTTATAATTACAAAAGGGAGCCTTATTGTAAAGTATAAAACATATCAGTGTTTATTAATGACTCTTAAACATTTTTAAATGTAAAATGAAACTTTTTTAGTATGAAACTAGTTAACAATTATTTATAACCAGTAAACTTTTTGAAGACTAGGGGCCTTACTATGAAAAGTATAACAAGCTGCCTTATAACATTAGACAATACTCTATCTTAACATGTGCAGTTGTTTTGGTTACACTTAGAACACACAAAACCTTCTAAACAAAAATGACAAAAAAAATCTTTGTTGTGTGGAAACTGAACACATAACTGAACAGATCGTTAAAAAATTACCAGTTTCACACACATCTGTTCTATAGCTAAATATGCTGAAACAGAACAAGTCAGATAACTGAGTAGGCTTTCAGACAGACTTGCCTCTTCGAATTGGAAGCAAAGATCCATCAGCCTTCATGCTTTCTATTTTGTTTTTCACTTCATCATTGCTTTGAATCTCTTCCTCACATCGCTTAGCAAAATGGAGTACCGTCTCTCCACTGGGCTTGTTGGAGATCAGCTCCTGGTAAACAAGAGGAGCTGCGATAGCGAGCTCAGCAACTGATGCCGTGGACACAACTGTGTTTCTGTCAATCCCATGCTTCTGAAAAGCTTTGGACAAGGTCTTCATCTTTGGAAATGTCTTGAGGAGGGACTTGTATCTCTGCACAATCTCACTTGGTGTTCGGACTGAGAATCAAATTAAAACAAAGAAAACTGTTAGAAACAAATGCTCATGGCACACAATACAATCTGTTACTATAATTTACACACACACATGCATATACGTGTGTGTGTGTGTGTGTGTGTGTATGCATTTCTAAAAATGCGCATCAGTCCAAACCTTATATTCAAGTTTGGTGTCAAATACAATGTAGTTTGAAGAAAATGTTTAAATGGTAATTTTATCTCCAAAGAACATATCTTCTAGCCTGGCCTGCCAGACTAGACTTCTGCACAGAGAGTCTGGTAACTCACAGGCAGAGAGGCACATGAGGGGCGGGATTAGCCAGCTCAAAAATGACCAATCAAAAAAAAAAAAAAGTGGAAATGCCAACTGTACCATGTTACGCAGTAGTTTTTTTAGCTGTAGTAAAAAATGGAGCCTGGTAATGGCGCAAACATCTTTCTTTAGAAGAAAGATTTTTAGCGGTTCTTGTTGTGGTTTCAAAGACATGTCCAAGTCATTTACAACAGAGGAAAGAGCCGCGGTGAACTCCGCTTCAGACATAATTGTTTATGAGAATTTGAGCTTCACTGTGTGTGTGACATACGCTGCTCAGTGATGATTGGTTTGGTTAGCATTTTCATTTGGGTGGGGTTATTTACATAGGAGAGTTACCAGACTCTTTCTCTGTGCAGAATTCAACAGAGGAGGAGTCTGGCAGGCCAGGCTACATATCTTCTGAATATAAGTATTTTGCTCACCACGCTGCCGGAACTTCTTTTCCTCCTTCTTGTATTTCTTGGCTTTTGAATGCTTGTTTTTGAATTTGCGCTTTTGCTTCTTTGGGGGTGAAGATGAGGATGAGGATGACCACTCAGATGATGCAGATGAAGATGTGGAAGATGAATCCAAGTTTTCAGAAGGATTGTTGATAAACGTATCATTTAATGGTTCGTCTTTAGGTTGCGCTGCAGAAAAAAATGGATGAATTTAGAATTTTTTTAACACATATCAGGTAACACAGAGTGAAACAAACATGCAAAGTAGCTGCCAATTTCATTTCATTACACAATGGATGATTTTGTCAGCTTATGTGCTTTGACAGAATGAGAATGATGCACCCTTCTGAGTGAAATAATATACATGTGGCTGGGCAAATCTAATTTTTGTAGACTATAGAATAATAAAACAGTATAATGACTGAGTGTTGTTGTCCAATACAACATTAAATGTCAATAATTGGCAGTAATTACCTATTACCGTGGTGTTTAAAGGAGAAAAAGGGGAAAACTAAGTTGCTGGTACTAAGAGATAAAGTGGCACAACTACAAACCATCTAAATGAACACTTTGATGTCGAAATGTGTATTTTAAATTAATTATTAAAGTATGTAAATGAAAATGTATTTATTCGTGAGAGCACAGACAACTGTAAGAAAACAGATAATAAACAGATAATAGGTAATGGCATAATACATGCCAATTAATTAATCAATAGGTTTAAACCCAATTAGAACAAGTTATTTTTAAGAGTTAACTGGCATAACACCAAAGACAACACAGTGACAATAAGGGATCTTCATGTATATTTATAAATTATCTGATTTTTATCACAATAATCTAAAATTAAACAATGTTTATGAAACTAGTTTAATGTCATACTTGACAGAGATGATAGCTGACTTCGGAGGAAATCCCTCTCTCCTTTCAGTTCTTCAATTCTCATCTTTTGCCACTCCAGCTTCTCCTTAAGAAACGCAACTTCCTGTCTCTCCTTATTAAGAAGCACAGTTGCAGTAGGGGCAAGGCCAGAAGAAGTATCTAAAAAAAACAAAATTTAGACACACATTAACAACAGTAGCAGAATCTCTAATCTAAACTAGGCAAACTCAATGACAGCAGAAACAAAAATATCTACTTTAAATGGTAACAATACAAATGTAAAAAAAGTTCTGAGACAAACACCTGTTGTAGAGCAGACACTTCCAGAACAAAATAAATTATTCCTCCATGTTACCACACTGGGGTTATTCATAATGATATAAATGTATATACATTTACTAACTATTAAAAAATATAAAACTTTGTGAGGTTTCACTTTCGTAATAATTAATAGTACCAGAGATAGCTAGGCACTGTAGCAGCCAAATGGTTCATTGTTAGCATTAAAACATTCCTCACCATCACGTTTCTCTGTTGACAGCGTTGGTTTAGTGTTAACGTTATCCAGTCGCTGCTTTTTGTTTTTCTTTGAACGCGTGCTGACCGCAGGTGTCGCAGTGGAACAGGAATCTTTCTCTTCAGGTCCATCCATGGCGCTGCTGTAGCTAGCTAGCGTCAGTCCGTGTCGGTTTGACTGGTGGATCCACCTCAGCTCCGACGCACACCGATGGGAGGGACTTCCGTATTAAGATTCACTGTGATTGGATGTTTGCACTAAGCTCAACTCTGTATGGCTAATTTTCGTTTTATTCCCTTTGGCGCGACGATGGCTAGTTTTCATATGCAACCTAAAAATCCAGCGGGAAACGCTTCATAACTGAGTCCAATGCACTATAAGAGGTGAGCAAATTGTTTTATTTTTTGTATGCAGGGTTGTTCTTTTAATTATAATTCACTTTTAAATATTACTTTAGCTGATGAAGAAAAATCATTTTTAAGAATGAAAATGTTTTGTGTAAATGTAGCATGTTTTGTATTAACTTAACTAAATATTCTTGTTCCTGTTGTGTTAGCCATTTTTACATTTTTCTTTGAAAATTATCAGCATTTACAAGTTCGCTTGCAGGGAAGAGTAGTCATAAATAATGATAATTAACATATTTATTAAAAACCCATTTATCTTTCTTTTTTTGGTCATTCTTAGTAAGTCAACATAATTATAAATTCAGGTTTTTATTTAGCAAGTGTTACTTCCTGTTGAGCTGTGTATTGTAAAAAGAAAAAAAAAACAACACAAATAGATTGCAGAGGCAATACAGTTTGTAACTGTATGTGCTGTGTTTTTTAAGTAAGTAAAATAAACTGGAACTAGAAATGTTTATATCTTGATTTTTTTTTGTGTGTTGAATTTTTTGGTCAAATTAATGGTTTTACATTTTTCCTTGACTTTTCAAAGAATGCTTCGAGAATTATACAAAGACTTGATCTGTTGCTATATCAGTGACCTTTTTTTACCTATGACATTCCGAAGATACCAGTATTTCAATGTAATAATATAATTAAATAAATCTATAATTTTTCCTACTAGAATGCCTCTTGGGATGAAGTTGTGCACTCATACAGAGGGAAAACAAACTAAAAAGAAGACTCTGAGGCTGATTAAATGGCTGCAAAAGAAACACCTTCTAAAGAAGAAGCTGAGATGCCCTGTTTGCCACCATAAGATGAAAATGATATCTGTGGTGAAGAAAGACCAATTTATGTGGTATGAATGCATGATAATGTAGAACATTTAACATCACATTCTGATATTAAAGGCAGGGTACGTAAGTTGGAATTGTTAAAATAATTTTGACCATCTGACCTTGTTCTATGAGAAAAAGTGTGATCTTTCATATTTTATTTTTCTCCTAAGTCCCTCCCCTGGCTTTACAGCTAAACTAATAATTTCTGCAAGCCTACCACACTGGCTAATAGCACTGCATTTCAGATGTTCTCTCACTTGACTCGGCTTTCCCTGCATGTGCACGTTAGGAGGCGTGGCTTTCGGCTCATTCAGGAAGGTCGGGGATAGAGCAACAGCCCTTCAAATTTTAAAAGCAAGACACAGTGCTAACTTTATCTCAATATTTATTTATTTTTTAATTTAATTTTGTGATAATGTTTATAGGTTCATTTATTTACCTCACTTTTTGGTTTGTTCTCAGGTGCTGCAAAAGAGCAAGTCATAGAAAAGTCTCCAGAACAATTAGAACTGGCTCCCTCTTTGAGAAATCAAAATCTTCTCTTTTCAGTTGGATGAAGTTCATCTACAGGTAGCCTGTGTGTATGAATGTCAACAGGAATAGCAGTTAATAATAGGGCCTCAGTGAGTTTTGATTGGTTTTCATTTCTGTCGCAGATTTTCACAAGGGCTCAGGCTCAGGCAGATAGATATGATTGATGATGATGTGGCTGGCAGCTCCAAAACATTAAGTGCCATGGCAAAGCGTATTCGACAAGTCTGCATCAGTGCAATGGAAAGACACGGAGTAAATAAAGGGCACTGTCTTGGTGGTCACAAAGAATTTGTGGTTATGGATGAAAGCTGTCTCCGTCATCAGCGAAAGGTTGTAAACTCTCAGACCCCTTTGTTATTATCAGTCCAGATCTGAACATGTCCCCTAAACATATAAGTTTTAAGTTTTTACCATTACATTTAAGAATCAATATAGTAAAACTGTTACAACCAAACAAAAACAATCTGTTAATAAACATATTATTATATCAATTACTATGATGATTTGAATCACTTGAGTCAGAATTTAACAAAATTAAAGTTTGTAAAAGTAGTCAATTAATCCATAAAGGAAATGAATGACAGAAAACAGCTTTTTTATTCAACATCTTTGTCATGCTGTTAATAAAGTTAAAATACAATTTACTTTAATAATAGCAATACAATTAAAATGTTAAGATGCAAACTGCATTTAAGAATATACTTTGTAAATATTCTGTTTAACCTTAATCTTTTTTTATTTTCAGTATGCACGTGGACGCTTCGGAAATGCTTGGAAAAGAAAGAAATGGGTCTTTGGACTGATGGGAGTGAAAGACAAAAGGCGAAGGCTCGTGTTAAAACTTGTAGAGAAACGAACGAGGCGTCACCTTGTTCCTCTGATCAGACAGCATGTTAAGTCGGGTAGTGCCATTATCAGTGATGAGTGGAGAGCCTACAAGAATGTCTTGACAAACATGGGGTACAAACATTACACAGTAAATCACAGCAGGTGGTTTGTTGATCCTCACTCGGGCAGTCATACACAACATATTGAAAGAGCTTGGATGACAATTAAAGGACATATTCGCAGACTAAGAGGAAATCGTACAGAGATGTTGTTGGAGGAACATCTTAAAGTTCTCGAATGGTCATCTCGGCTTGGTTCAAAACATCCTGATGGACCACTGGGACGCTTATTCAAGGACATATGGAAATCATTCCCAGTTTAACCTGAATCTCTTCTACAACAGTTTTTTTTAGGGAGGGGGTATTTGGTGTGTTTGATGAGTTTGGATGTTAAATGTGCTACACTTACAATACATGACCATTTTTGACAGTAGTTAACATAGTTTGTACAAATATTTTAAGCATTTAGTGTAACTCTGAAGTTTAACAAATTTAAACATTTAAGACTAATTTTTGGTATTTATAAATGTTTATTGGTCATTAATAAATAAAGATATGTTTTATACTTTACAATAAGGCTCCAGTTTGTATTTATAAATGTTTATTAATCATTAATAAATAAAAACATGTTTTACACTTTACAATAAGGCTCCAGTTTGTATTTACAAATGTTTATTAATCATTAATAAATAAAAACATGCTTTGCACTTTATAATAAGGCTCCCTTTTGTATTTATAAATGTTTATTAATCATTAATAAATAAAGACATGTTTTACACTTTACAATAAGGCTCCAGTTTGTATTTATAAATGTTTATTAATCATTAATAATCATTAATAAATAAAGACATGTTTTACACTTTATAAGAAGGCTCCAGTTTGTATTTATAAATGTTAATTAATCATTAATAAATAAAGACATGTTTTACACTTTACAATAGCGCTCCCTTTAATCATTGTAAGTATTTATAATGCAGTTATAAGGTACATTAATTATTTGCCCAAAACTGTGTTTACAAATGCTAATAGTGCTTAAAAGATAGGTTCTTAGTTTGAAATGTTTAATATATGAAGTCTAGATAAAGTACATAAGTCAACAGATTTGGTTCACTATTTGGCAAAAAACTAGTAGGTTTAGTCTCTTTCTCACCCTTAATTAATGCATAATAAACATTAATTAGTCATATATAAGGCATTATAGATGGATTAATAATACATTTATAAACCATTTATTAGCCATTTATAAGGGAGCCTTATTGTAAAGTGGTACCAAGGAAGGGAGTCATTAGCACTTATGGTTTGTAAATGGCACCCAGAATTATGTTGCACGAAGCACAATTTCACATCATTCTGGGTCCATTTGTGTGAAAACAAGGTCCAATCAGGCTGAAACGTTACAAGAAGGTAGAATCTATTGAGTTGTAAGTGATCTGAACGTTTCAAGATGATCGCACATTCCTATAGGGGGTCAAACCATGTCCCAAAGGTCACCGGGCCAGGTGTCACTTTAAAGAAGTAGTCCAGTTACTCCTTTGTGGGCTTATAACTTGGCTTCTGAATGTCCTAGAGAGATCAGGTTTGTTTTAGTATACTCCAATCAACAGCCCCTACAACCACAAAAAGGAATGGAGTCATTAGCACTTATGGTTTTTAAATGGCACCCAGAATTATGTTGCACGAAGCACAATTTCACATCATTCTGGGTCCATTTGTGTGAAAACAAGGTCCAATCAGGCTGAAACGTTACAAGAAGGTAGAATCTATTGAGTTGTAAGTGATCTGAACGTTTCAAGATGATCGCACTTTCCTAAGGGAGTCAAACCATGTCCCAAAGGTCACCGGGCCTGGTTTCATTTTAAAGAAGTAGTCCAGTTACACCTTTGTGGGCTTATAACTTGGCTTCTGAATGTCCTAGAGAAGTCAGGTTTGTTTTAGTGTACTCCAATCAACAGCCCCATTACCCCAAAAAGGAATGGAGTCATTAGCACTTATGGTTTTTAAATGGCACCCATAATTATGTTGCACGAAGCACAATTTCACATCATTCTGGGTCCATTTTTGTGAAAACAAGGTCCAATCAGGCTGAAACGTTACAAGACGGTAGAATCTATTGATTTGTAAGTGATCTGAACGTTTCAAGATGATCGCACTTTCCTAAGGGGGTCAAACAATGTCCCAAAGGTCACCGGATCTGGTGTCAATTTAAAGAAGTAGTCCAGTTACACCTTTGTGGGCTTATCACTTGGCTTCTGAATGTCCTAGAGAGATCAGGTTTGTTTTAGTGTACTCCAATCAACAGCCCCTACAACCACAAAAAGTAATGGAGTCATTAGCACTTATGGTTTGTAAATTGCACCCAGAATTATGTTGCACGAAGCACAATTTCACATCATTCTGGGTCCATTTGTGTGAAAACAAGGTCCAATCAGGCTGAAACGTTACAAGAAGGTAGAATCTATTGAGTTGTAAGTGATCTGAACGTTTCATGATGATCGCACATTCCTATAGGGGGTCAAACCATGTCCCAAAGGTCACCGGGCCTGGTGTCACTTTAAAGAAGTAGTCCAGTTACACATTTGTGGGCTTATAACTTGGCTTCTGAATGTCCTAGAGAGATCAGGTTTGTTTTAGAGTACTCCAATTAACAGCCCCCATTACCACTAAAAGGAATGGAGTCATTAGCACTTATGGTTTTTAAATGGCACCCAGAATTATGTTGCACAAAGCACAATTTCACATCATTCTGGGTTCATTTGTGTGAAAACAAGGTCCAATATGGCTGAAACGTTACAAGAAGGTAGAATCTATTGAGTTGTAAGTGATCTGAACGTTTCAAGATGATAGCACTTCCCTAAGGGGGTCAAACCATGTCCCAAAGGTCACCAGATCTGGTGTCAATTTAAAGAAGTAGTCCAGTTACACATTTGTGGGCTTATAACTTGGCTTCTGAATGTCCTAGAGAGATCAGGTTTGTTTTAGTATACTCCAATCAACAGCCCCTACAACCACAAAAAGGAATGGAGTCATTAGCACTTATGGTTTTTAAATGGCACCCAGAATTATGTTGCACGAAGCACAATTTCACATCATTCTGGATCCATTTGTGTGAAAACAAGGTCCAATCAGGCTGAAACGTTACAAGAAGGTAGAATCTATTGAGTTGTAAGAGATCTGAACGTTTCAAGATGATCACACTTTCCTAAGGGGGTCAAACCATGTCCCAAAGGTCACCGGATCTGGTGTCAATTTAAAGAAGTAGTCCAGTTACACATTTGTGGGCTTATAACTTGGCTTCTGAATGTCCTAGAGAGATCAGGTTTGTTTTAATGTACTCCAACCAACAGCCCCGACAACCACAAAAGGAATGGAGTCATTAGCACTCATGGTTTGTAAATGGCACCCAGAATTATGTTGCACGAAGCACAATTTCACATCATTCTGGGTCCATTTGTGTGAAAACAAGGTCCAATCAGGCTGAAACGTTACAAGAAGGTAGAATCTATTGAGTTGTAAGTGATCTGAACGTTTCATGATGATCGCACATTCCTATAGGGGGTAAAACCATGTCCCAAAGGTCACCGGGCCTGGTGTCACTTTAAAGAAGTAGTCCAGTTACACATTTGTGGGCTTATAACTCTGCTTCTGAATGTCCTAGAGATATCAGGTTTGTTTTAATGTACTCCAATCAACAGCCCCTACAACTACGAGAGGGAATGGAGTCATTAGCACTTATGGTTTGTAAATGGCACCCAGAATTATGTTGCACGAAGCACAATTTCACATCATTCTGGGTCCATTTGTGTGAAAACAAGGTCCAATCAGGCTGAAATGTTACAGGAAGGTAGAATCTATTGAGTTGTAAGTGATCTGAACGTTTCAAGATGATAGCACTTTCCTAAGGGGGTCAAACCATGTCCCAAAGGTCACCGGATCTGGTGTCAATTTAAAGAAGTAGTCCAGTTACACATTTGTGGGCTTATAACTTGGCTTCTGAATGTCCTAGAGAGATCAGGTTTGTTTTAGTATACTCCAATCAACAGCCCCTACAACCACAAAAAGGAATGGAGTCATTAGCACTTATGGTTTTTAAATGGCACCCAGAATTATGTTGCACGAAGCACAATTTCACATCATTCTGGGTCCATTTGTGTGAAAACAAGGTCCAATCAGGCTGAAACGTTACAAGAAGGTAGAATCTATTGATTTGTAAGTGATCTGAACGTTTCAAGATGATCGCACATTCCTATAGGGGGTCAAACCATGTCCCAAAGGTCACCGGGCCTGGTGTCACTTTAAAGAAGTAGTCCAGTTACACCTTTGTGGGCTTATAACTTGGCTTCTGATTATCCTAGAGATGTCAGGTTTGTTTTAGAGTACTCCAATTAACAGCCCCCATTACCACTAAAAGGAATGGAGTCATTAGCACCTATGGTTTTTAAATGGCACCCAGAATTATTTTGCACGAAGCACAATTTCACATCATTCTGGGTTCATTTGTGTGAAAACAAGGTCCAATCAGGCTGAAACGTTACAAGAAGGTAGAATCTATTGAGTTGTAAGTGATCTGAACGTTTCATGATGATCTCACATTCCTATAGGGGGTAAAACCATGTCCCAAAGGTCACCGGGCCTGGTGTCACTTTAAAGAAGTAGTCCAGTTACACATTTGTGGGCTTATAACTCTGCTTCTGAATGTCCTAGAGAGATCAGGTTTGTTTTAATGTACTCCAATCAACAGCCCCTACAACTACGAAAAGGAATGGAGTCATTAGCACTTATGGTTTGTAAATGGCACCCAGAATTATGTTGCACGAAGCACAATTTCACATCATTCTGGGTCCATTTGTGTGAAAACAAGGTCCAATCAGGCTGAAATGTTACAGGAAGGTAGAATCTATTGAGTTGTAAGTGATCTGAACGTTTCAAGATGATAGCACTTTCCTAAGGGGTCAAACCATGTCCCAAAGGTCACCGGATCTGGTGTCAATTTAAAGAAGTAGTCCAGTTACACATTTGTGGGCTTATAACTTGGCTTCTGAATGTCCTAGAGAGATCAGGTTTGTTTTAGTATACTCCAATCAACAGCCCCTACAACCACAAAAAGGAATGGAGTCATTAGCACTTATGGTTTTTAAATGGCACCCAGAATTATGTTGCACGAAGCACAATTTCACATCATTCTGGGTCCATTTGTGTGAAAACAAGGTCCAATCAGGCTGAAACGTTACAAGAAGGTAGAATCTATTGAGTTGTAAGTGATCTGAACGTTTCAAGATGATCACACTTTCCTAAGGGGGTCAAACCATGTCCCAAAGGTCACCGGATCTGGTGTCAATTTAAAGAAGTTGTCCAGTTACACCTTTGTGGGCTTATCACTTGGCTTCTGAATGTCCTAGAGAGATCAGGTTTGTTTTAGTGTACTCCAATTAAACAGCCCCGACAACCACAAAAAGGAATGGAGTCATTAGCACTTATGGTTTGTAAGTGGCACCCAGAATTATGTTGCACGAAGCACAATTTCATAT